AAAGTGAGCATGAGTGCTCATTTGATACTAATGGTAGTTGTGGAACAATTAAGGAAATCAATGCTCACAAAAATCATCACTCGATACGATTTTTAAGATTTCTTTTTTAAACTTAAATTTTTCAGAGTTCGAAAATCATTGTGAGCATCGATGCTCATTCTCACATTTATACGAATCGACGAAACAAAGAATATCTCACTGCTCGAAAATCATCAAAGCAAAATATCGATACGATTTGTGTGCTTTGTTTTTTCAACTTAAATTTTGCAGAGTTAGAAAATCATTGTGAGCATCGATGCTCATTTTCACATTTGTGCGATTGGACGAACTCAAAAAAATATCTCACTACTCGAAATCATGAAAGCATAATATCGAGACGATTTTGATGCTTTGTTTATTTCAACTTAAGTGTTTTAAAGTTCCATAATCATTGTGAGCATCCTGTGCACACTATTGCTCACTTGATTCCTACACATGCTCTTCCCCATTTCAATCTAATATTCTGCTTTCAGTGATATAAGAATCATACTCGGCGATCGTTTTTGTCTCGAAAATGCTCATTAAACTTTGTTCCATTACCCGATTTCGAAAGTGAGCATCCTCTGCTCACTATTGCTCTGTCACTTTGGACACATGCTCTTCACTGTTTCAATCAAATGTTTCGCTTTGAGTAATATGATAATCATACTCGGCGATTGTTTTTGTCTCGGAAATACTCATAGAAGTTTGTCCCATTACTCTATTTCGAAAGTGAGCATCCGGTGCTCACTATTGCTCACTCACTTGCGACACATGCTCTTCACTATTTCAACCTAATATTTTGCTTTCACTGATATAAAAATCATACGTCGCGATCATTTTTTTCTCGAAAATGCTTATCAAACATTGTTGCATTACCGAATTTTGAAAGCGAGCACCCAGTGCTCACTATTGCTCACTCACTTCCTACACATGGTCTTTCCCGTTTCAACCTAATGTTTCGCTTTGAGTGATATACTTACCGTACTCACCGACCGTTTTTGTCTCAAAAATGCTTATCGAACTTTGGCGCACTAGCCTGTTTCAAAGGGAACATGTTATGCTCACTGTGTCTTTCTACATCGCATTGTCTACCTCAACGTAATATTTGTCTGGGAATGAGATGGAAATCATATATAGCGATCTTTGCTGGCTATCCTCGTTCTTGTGGAGTTTGTAACGCTATTTGATTTTCAAAGTGGGATTCCTGTATTCAGATTTGGTGAATTTTCAGTATGGCGTCGATGGTTTGATTCTAATCTAAAATTGCTTTTAAGAACGAGAGAGTAACGATATCTTGAGATTTATTTTACTAAGAAAGTGTTTGTTTGGAGATTTTGAAGTCTCACATTGGTCAAAGTGAGCATCTTAGGTGTAGATGAGGATGTGAGTGTAGAGGAACGGTGAATCAGTTACCCCAACTCACGCAGAGCGACGGATTATTAGTTGCTTGATAGTAGTAGCATTTACGAGATTTGGTCGAATTCGGTCGGATCAAATATCTTCCGATATAAGGTAAGATTGAAATTTATGTTAATTCGGTCAATCCGGCCGACGGATTTTGCGCCGAAAAATGCCGGATTTGTCCGGTTCACAGCAGGTTTTAATGGGATCTTTACAGATTTTGGTGAAACCGATTGGTTCTGGGCATCGAATATCGGTGGTGTAGTGTCCGATGATTTCCGTACCGGACTACAGCCGAATTATGCGGATTTCAAAGGAATTGTTTTAGGTGGTGATGTCCGGTGTTGATCCGATGTAATCGGATTGTCAGATTGTAAAGGAATAAGGGGGATTTGGAAGTAATTATTTTGGTTGATGGTTTTCGGTATAGATCCGTTGCAATCCGATTGTCGGATTTTAGATTATGATGAAGGATTTTTTTCCGGCAGGATCCGACATTGGACTGAATTCAAAAATTTGAGGAAATCTGTTGAAGTCCGATGTTATCCGGTTTACAATCTGGAATCATCCGGAGGTTTTCAGAAGGTGGTTATGTCAGGATATGGTCGGATCCGATTGTCAGTTGCGATAAGATCCGACCAGATCTTTTCCGGTGTAATCCGATCCGGAATCCTGTACATGAGAATCCGACATAAACTGAGTCGGTTCCGATCGGTCTTCAACGGAGTGCGTCGGATTCCGGAGTAATCTGGTGTCGGATCCGATGTGTTCCCGTACGGTCCACAAGTCGGATCGAATGTCCTGGGATCTCTGATAATCAATAATATGACTGACTCAAATACTTTTTTTAAATAACGTTACTTTTATTATATTTTAATCTCTCACGTATTTTTTTATTTTAATTATATCGTCATTTTTGACCATGTGAGTGATATCTTAGGTGTAATCGTCAAGATAGTGCTATACATTTTCAATATTATGTACAAAATAATGATTCCTTAATACTACTATAGAAACATTTATTTACAATAATCTCTATGCTTACTGATGATTGATAAAAATAAGATTGTTTAGAACAATCAATGAGATGATGATTTGATCCCATACAATATAATTTTCTTGATGTATTTAAAAAATCGATACGAGAAAGTTCATAATATTTTAACGATATGCAATTAAAATTCAGCATAAAAACTAATTACTTTTGTTCACATACAGCAAAATCACTTTTAAAAATACTATATTATTTAGTACAAGATATTGAAAATTGATATAACATTTATTTATACATCACTCAATCTTTTTTGTTGAAAATAAATAAATATTTAAATGCAAAATGAAACTAATATGAATTAACTTCCTTAAAATGATAGGGTGTGGGTGTGAATGTAATGTAAGTGTTAGTAAAGTATGTATGACAGATCCATTCATACGCCCAAACCCACACACCCACCCACACCCACAACCACATTCTCTCCTACTCAAACTAAATGTGAATGACGTAAGCCACGTCGCATAATTAATTCCATACGATAATCAAAATTCATTTTCTGAAATACACTTTCACTAAAAGATTAAAAAAACAGTATTGTTGCCTTCTTTAAAATGATGAGGTTCAAAAAATGACTGACTAACATATTTCATATCAATACCTTTATTGTAAAGATTAATATTATACTTTATATAATTGGAAATGGATTGTTCTGGACAATTCAATCTAAATAAATATGTAGAATAATATAAACTAAACTAAGCATTAGACTCATATTTACTTCTCAAAAAGTACATTCATATGACAATATGAATCTGCATTATACAAAACTTCATCATCTTTATCAATTTTTGACGATAAGATGTTTAATATCATATTGTAAATCTCTTTTTCAAATCCTGGTCGCGATAAATATTCATTTTATTTAATACACAACGAGACGAATCCCTAAAAAAAGCATTTTAATAAAATATATATTATCCTTATCCACAGCGCATCTTCATCTATATATATAAAGAAGAAAGTTTGTCTGTTTGTTCTTTATGCATTTGGACACCGTACGAGCAAATGAAATGAAACTTTCCAGGAATGGTTTCTACAACCAGGGGAAGGTCAACGTCTACTTTTTTCCAAAAAAAAATAAATCCTACGTTTGCTACAGGCAATCTATGAAACTGACCAATAGGATTGCAGCATTTCAAAAGGTTAAAAAAACATTGATAGCGAAGGCGGCCGAAGGCCGTCTGAGCGCTCCAATAGAACATTCCACATGTTCTATCTATTTACAGCAGTCCGGTACTTGCTACGGGCAATCTATAGAACTGACCAATAGGATTGCAGCATTTCAAAAGGTTAAAAAGACATTGATAGCGAAGGCGGCCGAAGGCCGTCTGAGCGCTCCAATAAAAAATTTCACATGTTCTATCTCTCTATAGCAGTCCGGTACTTGCTACAGGCAATCTATAGAACTGACCGATAGGATTGTAGTATTTCAAAAAATTAAAAAGAATTAATAGCGAAGGCGGCCGAAGGCCGTTTGAGCGCACATCTTCTGTTCGCTATGCATTCGGTCCCTGTAATACCTATGATCACCAAACTTTTCATGACGCTTCCTTAGGTCCTAAGGACGATCGACGGGGATTGGCATAGTCAATGGGGGAGGGGGGCGTGATTGAAACTTTACTTAGGTGATTCTATGATAGCTAACTTCACCAAACCATCAATCATACACCTGTATATACAAGGAAAAGTAGCGAGGGGGTCGGATATGGAAAGTGCTTGAAATAAAAATATTTTGCAGCGGGAACCGTATCAGAGGAATTTTACAGCCACAACTGTATGAGAGAGAGTTTGCAGCGGGAACTGTAAGACAAGAACTTTGCAGCGAGAACTGTGTAAGAGAGAATTTGCAGCGGGTACTTCCGCTAGTTTTATTATATTTATCAATGATATCAATGCTAATCCAATAAATTTTACTATGATATTAAACCGATGTTATTTTTATTCTATCGTTAAAAAATATCAACTACAATGAAGAATATTATATGAATATATTAAATCAACGTTATTTATATTATATTAATTACTATGAACAATTTTAATTCAACATACTATATTATTACGCAACAACATGTAATTTATTCGAATCATTACCACATATTCCATATTTTATTAATCGAATAACAACTGAATAAACTTTACAATAAATTATTGAAGCTGCAATAACATCCACCGAATTTATAATTGATACTGACTCAATAAATATTTATCAAATACGAAATGAATCAGCATTAATATAATTACAAATTATTTTACCACATGATTATTCACTTGCATTATTAGTAGAAATATGTCATCTTCCAAATATTAATAGTTCTTGTTTTAAACTAATTAAAGAATTATTTCGAATATCATTTTCTCGCGAAAAAATGATTTATATTTGGGGATAAAAAGACGAATTAAATCTGTTTGCAATATACAGTTTATTTTCGAAGAAATAAATAAATGGTATGCAACCAATCAATTTTCAGGCTGAATTCATATTATTCTAGAATAAACAACATCAACATCAGTCATTAACAAATTATTGTACTTGTAGAGAAACGTTTTGGAAAAAATTCAGGTGATATATGATCGCTTCAAGACGCAGTGGCATATGAATTAAAAGAATATCTATCAAAACAATTAACAATAGGTGGTTTTAATATTGGTTTAGATCCAGATCTATATTATATGAACGATAACGAAAAATATTATCGTAAAGAACTTGCCATTTATGCTTTATATGACTGTCTCTTGATGCATAAAATTTGAATTAATATGAAAATAAAAAAATATAAATTTAGTTTTCAAATGAAGAACAAGATTCCATATGAGTTAATAGAATCTATTTCATTAAGTGATGATCATGATGGTTAAATATCATTTTCACAACTTACACCATCTGTTGAACGTCGGAAAACTTACGATACATGAATTACAAATGAATATGAACATAAAAATTAAAGTCAACTATCTACAGAAGAGAAGAATAAATACATAACCGATCATGCACAATAAAACAACGCCGACAATATTATAGAAATGAATTAATATTCGAAAATATCGATCATCGATTTACAATAATACAAATTAAAACGATACTCAAATAACAACTGATATCGGTTCATATCATTAACACCGCCATATCTTATCCAACGAATAATAGAAGACTCCGTGTGGCTATGCGTAAACCAGAATCAATAAAATAATATGAAGAACAAACACGAAACTTCTTCACAACACAACATTACCACGAACTCAAACTAACTGGCCGACTACCTGGTTCACCTCATAGACATACACTAACAACCACTAATACCATATAGTATTGGTATTGCTACATCCCTGGTGATAAATCAATTCTTCATCCAGATACTCACGAATTCAGTAAATAGGAAATGACGGCGATTAATTATCATCAGCATATCTATCTTGAATTAAAAGAGCCAATTGAAACTATTAATATGCATGATATTATAGTTGAATTATCCGAATCAGATGAATTTGATCTACAATTCTGCAAGTCTAAACTAAATTGGCTCTTATACATAACTAAAGAGGATTTTTATCTCTATGTTAAGTTTCGGATGCAGTTGCGTATACCATGCTCACCTGTACTATTCGGATTTCACAAAACTAATTAGTGCCACAAATTCATTAATTATATCGGCATATAATCGACGTAATGATTTTGATAATATTATCCAACAACATCAGGCAGTGTTACGATGCAAATTTATTATTGAACAGGCGACACTTTTACTAAAGTTATCGTGTCCTCTTGTTAAACCGAATATCTCTCAAAGAACAAAAAATTCAACGTTGGTGGGATATCTGACAGATTTTTTTTCAAGGTATTTCCGAAGACTGTTAGATACTACTTTTCGACGACTTCATACTAAGTCATAATTCATTGATTATGTCGACTCTGTTACGACTAATGTACAAATTATCAATTACAATTTCTGTTAACTGTGAAGTACCGAAATTTTTGTTGTATCGAGATGTACAAGTAGTGTTTCTTTCTAATCTAACTAAAGACTATTTGTTTGAAAATAGCGATTCGATTATTGTTGAACAATGTAAGACTCTATTCCGAAGATGTTCATATTTAAATGTGAGTCATTCGTTATTTATGTGTTCAGGTGCTTGTTCGATTTTTTTCATTCATATATGACATGATTTCGAGAAGAATCTTCAAAGAAATAACAATTTATTTATTTCATAAATAAATACTATTTACACAACTCATACACACAAGATGATTTCTATAAATTTGAGGGTGTGGGTCTGGGTGGCTGAGTGAGTTTGAGTGTGGGTGATGGTGTGTATGTAGGCTTTTGCTAAGCGAAGATACACTCACGCTCACACCGTCATCCATCCACATGCACATCCACCCATACCCGCACTCACATCTGACTAAATGTAATATACGGCAAATATCTCGAATTTCGTATTTTTTTATTTTGAATTAGAAGAAACTATAGAAGTTTTCTAGAAAATCAATTAAGAATGAAATTTCATCATCGTCTTGATTTGTTTTTTATTATAAAATGCAAATTATTATTCATTAAGTTTTCTTTTATTACGAATCGAGCCCCGAAATAAGGGTGTGAATGGGTGAGGATGTGTGGGTGTGGATTTGGGTATGAATGTGAGCTAAGAGAAGAGATACCCACGCCCTATTGCTCCTTTGAGGGTGTGGGTGCGGGCGTCTGTGCTGTAGTTATAGCCATCTCGTATTCACACCCACAACCACACCCTATTGCAAGATTTTTCTGTATCTATTCAACTTCTTCTTTTTTATCATTTAAAATTAATATACGTCAAATAAAAATTGATAGTGCAAAATTTTTGCATGAATTCTGTTTTTAATATAATTTTCCTGGAAATAGTATTTAACAACCGTCAAAATTCTGGAGTTGAAAGGCGTTAACATAACTCTTTTATCAGTATCGTTTTTATTTATTTTTAATGATCTCTATTACTATATATGTATACAATGTTGTGTTGAAATAATTGTATTGATATACAAAAGAATAAATGGAAGATAATTTGATAAAGAACTCCCTTCACAAACTAGTCACTTTAATGACAGAACAAATTTACACTGGAATATCTTACAGAAAAGATTTATTCTTGCTCAAATAACATCGTTTGATAGACAATGCAATAGGCCTTTGACCATTTTTCTCTTGTAAATAAACAATTAGTTTTCAAGTGCTATCATTAATGCATGATAATACATTTATAATTAATCATTTTTACCATTATAAATGTGTGATAGTTACTTTTTTGTGTTTAAATTATAGAACTTGAATTAGTAATTTAGATAGATGATGTACCACATTATCATTTGTGAAAATGTCTTCTAATATATTTAGCTTCAACAATTTTGTAGTTTTTGAAAAGTATTTACAACACCAATGGTTTAAATATGTTCGCACCAAATACTTTTGTTCTAACAAATTTCATGCGACCATTTAAGAACAAAACAATGCATGGCGATGAGAATAAACATTGGCTGAATGAATCATATTTGTTTTTCTCTTCCGTTTTAATGACTAAGTGCTGCACGCAAATTGACATACTGGAATAATTGCACAGAGGAAAGGAAGAGAAAGTTGGAAAGAATAACTATACAACATTATGGTCTGGTGGCTTCTGATTTGTTCGTTCTATCGCGGACGTTGTTAAGAAATTTATCCGTGTCGTCTGTCTCTTACTCTTCACAGCAGTATCTTAAAAAAATAACTAGTCGGAGATTCTCTTTAAACCTTAACAAAAAATACACATATTTTGCATGTTGAGAAGAACAGAAAAAATACGCCATTGCCATTATAAATAAGAGCGATACGTTTTCTTACCATTCTGACAAGAACAACTAGTGGCAAGCTTATATTCATCGTCAAATTATTAAAAAGGGCAAAACGTGTGGATCAAGATCAAATCAAAAACATTTTTCATCATCAAACGCGCTTATGAATAACAATAACACTACGATGACACCATCGGATGCTATTATAGCAAGGCGACACATAGTTCAGAATTATTCACTCCTCTGGTTAGATGAGTGTATGGATCAAACAAACAAAGTTTATCAAAATATTTTGACACAATTAAAAACCATTACTGACTATGTCAACGTCTTTAAGGAACGAGATGTATGCATCGACTATCTTACAGATGCTCAAGAAGACATCAGATTTTTCCTCGTTGTCAAGCATACTATGTCTCAACAAATAATGTCACTCATTAATGATATTCCTCAGCTGCATGGTATTTATGTTTTTGATGATACTAAAATCGTACCTGAAGAATTGATAAAAAAACGGCAAAAAATCAAGAGTATTCATACCAACATTGATGACTTATGTCAAGGATTACAACTGGGTATTAAACGATACCATCAAGACTCGATAGCCATTAGTTTTATCACAGCAAATGAAATGGCTTCAACTAATAATTTAAATCAGTTGGACCCGACATTTATGTACACTCAGATATTTAAGGAAATCATCCTTGAAATGAAATATGGTGAACAGGCTATCGAAGACTTTATTATTTACAGTCGACAAAACGACTGGGGGTCCACAACTGTTATTGATCGATTTCAAAAAGAATACCATCCTCTATCAGCTATTTGGTGGTATACTTACACTTCATTTACTTACTGTATGCTTAATGATGGTCTTCGGTTCATGGAAGGCAATACCATTATTAATATGGGTTTTTTTATTCATGATCTACATCAACGGATACAACAGCTGTATGACGAACAAATTAATAGCTATGGAGGGAAACCTCTTTTAGTTTATCGAGGACAAGGTCTTGAAAAATCAGAATTTGAAAAACTTCAAAAAACAAAAGGTGGACTTCTAGCATTTAACAATTTCTTGTCCACCAGTAAAGATAAAGAAGTGTCTCTCGAATTCGCTGAGTGTGCTTCGACAAAACCGGATACGATGGGCATTCTCTTCATAATGTCAATTGATCCTTGCATTAAATCAGCACCATTCGCCTCTATCAAGGAGCTAAGCTATTTTAGGGAAGAAGATGAAGTTCTCTTCTCAATGCACACCGTCTTCCGAGTGGGTACCATTAAACAAATAGAAAGTAAGAGTCAACTCTATCAAGTTGAATTACAACTAACCACGGATGATGATCAACAACTACGATTACTTACTACTCGAATACGAGAAGAAGTTGGTGGTGGTACGGATAAGCATAGATTGGGTAACTTATTGCTTCAAATAGGTCAGTTTAATAAAGCTGAAGAACTTTATAACGTACTACTCGAACAGACATCTGATGATGATAAAAAAGCGATTTATTTTAATCAGTTGGGATACGTCAAAGATGGCCAGGGTGATTATGAAAAGGCTATTTGGTATTACGAACAAGGACTTAAAATTCAACAAAAAATTCTTCCTTCAAACTATTTTTCATTGTCTACCTCATACAACAACATCGGTAGTGTATATCACCAGATGGGCGAGCACTCGAAAGCACTTTCATTTTACGAAAAAGCACTTGAAATTAGACAAAAAACTCTTCCTTCAAATCAACCTTCAGTAGCTACCTCATACAACAACATCGGTAGTGTGTATGACAAGATGGGAAAGTACTCAAAAGCACTTTCGTTTTATGAAAAAGCACTTGAGATTAGACAAAAAACCCTTCCTTCGAATCATCCTTCATTGGCTACGTCATACAACAACATCGGTAGTATGTATGACAAGATAGGAAAGTATTCGAAAGCACTTTCATTTTATGAAAAAGCACTTGAAATCTATCAAAAAGCTCTCTCTTCAAATCATCCTCATTTGGCTAGTTCATACAACAACATTGGTAGTGTATATAACAACATGGGAGAGGACTCAAAAGCACTTTCATTTTACGAAAAAGCACTCGATATCTATCAAAAAGCTCTCTCTTTAAATCATCCTTCATTGGCTACCTCATACAACAACATTGGCAGTGTGTATTATAAGATGTGGGAGTACTCGAAAGCACTCTCATATTTCGAAAAAACACTTGAAATTCGACAAAAAACTCTTCCTTCAAATCATCATGATTTTTCGCAGTCATACAACAACATTGGTAGTGTGTATGTCGGCATGGGAGAGTACTCAAAAGCACTTTCGTTTTACGAAAAAGCATCTGAAATCTATCAAAAAGCTCTTTCTTCAAATCATCCAGATTTGGCTACTGCATACAACAACATCGCTAAGGTGTATGACAAGATGGGAGAATACTCCAAAGCACTTTCGTTTTACGAAAAAGTACTTGAAATCGATCAAAAATCTGTTTCTTCAAATCATCCTCATGCTGCTACTTCATACAACAACATTGGTAATGTGTGTGAAAACATGAAAGAATACTCAAAAGCACTTTCGCTTTACGAAAAAGCACTTAAAATTTGGCAAAAAACTCTTCCTTCAAATTATCCTAATTTAGCTATTTCATATAACAACATCGGCAGTGTGTATAAGAAGATGGGAGAGTACTCGAAAGCACTTTCATTTTCCGAAAAAGCACTTGAAATTAGACAAAACCATTTTCCTTCAAATCATCCTGATTTCGCACAGTCATACAAAAATATCGGTGATGTGTATCAAAATATGAAAGACTATTCAAAAGCACTTTCATATTATGAACGTGCTCTGGGCATATGGCAACGTGCATTACCTCCAACTCATCCTCATATAAAAATGGTGAAAGGAAGTATTGAAATTGCAAAAAAGAAATTATAAAGAATAATTGACAAATAAAAGAAGGTTTTTGTCGCTTATTTTTGAATTAGTTCTATTTTTAGTTGCTCACACGCTCGTATAGAGAACAACTCTCTAAATAATGAAACGTAATGGACAAAGCGGTCTGATAAGGTAATACACACACATACGCATGTGTATAAAGGATCTTCTGAGACATATTTACATTTCTAATTGTCTACGAGGGTGTGGGTGTGTTATATTTATCTCATACTATATTCACAACCACACACGTATTTAATATTGCCACTTTTTCTCTATGAAGGTTCATTCAAGTCGAAAAACTATGGTAATATCTAGAGGGTGTGCGTGTAATCTTCATAAATCACATTCACACCCTTGTTTATGTAATGCTTCAGGTATGGCAGTTAAATGAATATCCTATTTACTATCAAACGTTGAAATATAACGATAAATATCGGTAGACGTTCGTCATTTGTATCTATTGGTGAACACGACGTGATATCTCGATTAGAACATGTATTTTCTTCTGTTGGTGTCGATACAAGTTAAAGGAGAAACGAATAGAAATAAAAATATTTTACATTAAATAATAATTGCTCCATTATTCGTCTTGTATCCATAACTCAACTAAATAAAATTACTAAAGCACTTCAGTTTATACATCGTTGTTATTTTCGTTCCTTTGCTACATTTAAAAATACCCAAAAACGTAATTGCTTTTATGAAAATACCATCTTCTGCTGTATTATTTCACTCTATGAGTCATATCTGATATGTTAATACTCAACGTATGTTTTTCTTTTTTTCCTTCCTCTGTCGATTAATACCATGTGCAAACTTTATATTTTTGTTATCGTTTTACCTTTCTATTTGCATAGTTTCTTACTACCTACAAAAACATTTACGTTTGATGTTAGTTGAAAATAAAAAGTGTGCATACAGAAATGTCGTTTTCGTTTGAAGTTAATCCTCGTTTTTTGGTCGATATTCGTCATGAACCAAAACAAATACTTGAACCGATTAGTGGCTATGAACAAGAGCCACTATTATCTCTTGAAGAAGCCTGTCGACCACTCGAGAATATTCTTGGCATAGAACTCAACCTGTATATTACTGTTGCTAAACTGAATTCACAAGAACCCGAAGATAGACTTACTCAGGATGAGTCAGCATCAATATATTTATATACCATGGAATGGAATGAAACGGAGAATAGTCTTTATGCTATTCTCAATCAAACATTTCGTACAGCTGATAGAAGTAAACTTCGACCTTGGTTCAAATATTTGAAATTATTCTTTACTGCAATATTCAAATTACCGTAAGTAATCAATCTGCTGATATAGTTAATTTGAATTTAATCAATTGTAGATTTAATGAATATCATACGGTTTGGCGTGGAGTTTCTGATGATCTTAGCGAACTGTATCGAGAGGGCGACGAACTAACGTGGTGGTCGTTAAGCTCCTGTACATCTTCAATCGATGTTCTTGAGTCTCCCATGTATTTTGGTAGGGCAAACACACGAACCATATTCTCAATCCAGACAAAAAACGGAAAACTCATCCGTGCACATTCTCATCTTCAGAATGATGATGAAATTCTTCTCTTGCCGGGAATATTTCTCAAAGTATCCGGATCGGTAAATCTGACCAATGGAGTTCATATGATTTATTTACGCGAGATTGCGCCGCCTTGTTCGAGACTAGCTGTCCCATGCGATCTACGACATTCATCTTCAACACAACAATTTCTCTTCGGAGCAAATAATGCATCAAAGATAGGCAAGTTCATAATTTCAATGTAGATTTCTAGGCTTACGTTTAATCGGTCGAATTTAGATTTTCCTGTTTTGTTTTCACAAAATATGAGTCGTCAACTACTATCAATCAATGATCTCCCCATCGAACTTCTTTCAACTATCTTTCAATTCGTTCGACCCCTCGACATGCTTCTCACTGCTTCGTATACCTGTCAACTTTGGCGTAAGATAATTTATAATGAATGGTTTCTCAACAAGTACTCTACAGGTGGAATTAGCAAACATCAACTTATTGGATGGTGGAAATTTGATGATATAAATAATATAGGATTTGATTCAAGTGGCGTATTGGGTGACCGCTACCATGTATTCGGTCAACCCACGATAGAGGATTGTTTCTTGGGTAAATGTGCTGTATTCGATGGTCGATCATTCATCGATTTGCCTGTAAACGACAAGTTCGAATATCAAACCGATGTATACTCCGTGTCTATATGGTTTTGGGCTGATTTATCAGCATGGGCACGAGATCAACGGGAAGGTGGATGGCGAACAGCGATCGGTTCATGGCATGACTGGTATCCGACCGATCATGCATGGCTTCATCTTGGTTTTCATGTTGACATGAATATTAGTAATCAAGTAATGATCTCTGCAGCACAATATGCATTCAACTGTCAAGACAGTCAAAAGATAGAACCATGTCGATGGTATCATGTTGTTGTTCGAGTCAATCGTAATCGACAAGAACTGTGGGTTAATGGAGAACAAGTGAGCAATGTCGATATGACTCGTGCATATCTTCGTCACGAAGTGCGTGAACCTTATCGACAAAATTGGGATGATTCACAGTGGCATATGCAAAAGATGCATTTACCGAATATTCTCTGTCTTGGATCGAAGAGTAGTCAACACCATAATCCATGGATAGGCAAAATTGCCGATGTATCAATTTGGCGACGATGGCTTAAACCATTTGAAATTCGCGCCTTGCATCAACAACAAGTATCCATTGATAAAGTGAAACTAGGCTCATTCATACTTGGGAAATAGAAAATATTTGTAGACTCTTAATGTTGCCTTGTGTGTGGGTGTGTGGGTGTGGGTGAGTATGTTTTTCCGTTACTGCACACTTACACCCACGCTCACACCCTCACAAACCAAGAAAGGCTTTC